AGCTCGGTTGGTTAGAGCATAGTGCTCCCAACACCAAGGTTGCCAGTTCGATCCCCATATGGGCCACTGAGCTGCGCCCTCCACAACTAGGCTGAGACTTGGAGCTGATGGGTCCTGGGAAAAACACTCTGTTCCCCAATAATAGTAGTAATAATAATAATAATAATAATAATCCCATATTCTATGAACCAGCATTCCCTCCTAGGCAAATACCCTAAAGAAATCCCACAACCAAGAGGTATATGCAAGAATGTTCACAGCAGTATCATTTGTAACAGAAAAAAACTGGTACAACTTAAATATCCATTAATTAGAAAATGGATACATAAGTTGTGGTATAGCCCTATAATTTGAAGCTATTCAGCACTGAAAAGAATTAGCTCAAAAACGGTATCAACATGGAGGAAGCTCAGAAATATTATATTGAGGAAGAGATGCAAGTCTCAAAAATATATACAGCAAAGTACTATTTATGTAAAATGTAAAAACATTCAAAGCATTATATGGGAAAAAGATAATTACCAAATTCAGGATCCTGGCCTCCTCTGGGTAGAATGGGAGGAACGGCAACCAGGGTTGTACAAAGGAGCATTTATTACCTGTGTTGACAATGTTTTGGGGTTTTTTGTTGTTGTTTTTTTTAAGATTTTTATTGGGGAATTGGGGGAGGGGAACAGCACTGGGGAATCGAGGAAGGAGAACAGACAAGTTGCTATCCTTTTGTTCTTCAGTCTAGTTGTGGAGGACGTCGCTTCACTGGCCCATGTTGGTATTATCATTGCACTCTTCCTAGGTGAGGCATTGGTCGCCGGTCACTGGATGGCTGCTCANAAAACTGATTTTTTTATGTATAAAGCACAAATATGCATAAAGTACATAAACAGATTCGCAGTATATATGTAGTACTGAAATTTCATGGGGGGATGATTAAGAAAAAATGTCTAAAAAAGCTTCTTAGCAGGACAATAATGGAAAAAGGCTGAGAAAAACATCCATACAATTTGACATGCAACGGTTAAAAAGAATGAGGTAGATGTATGTATATTGACAAAAGGGGATGCCCAAGATGCATGAAATTATTTTAAGTATTTTATTTATATATGAATATTATTTATATATAAATTTATATATAAATATTTATGTAATATATTTTGTATAAATTATTTGTATTTCTTTTTGGGGTTAAAATTACAAGTATTCTATCTATATTATTATAATGTTTACATTTTTACAACAGCATCTTAAGAAAATATATGCTATAAGAATAAATGAATATTCAGTTTCATAATCTTGTAGGGAAGAAGGACTTTTAAAACATGACTCCAAAGCCCAAAACTATTAAAGTTTAGGTTAAGCTACATAAAATTAAAAATTACTACATGGGAGAAAAACCACACACACATACACCATAATTGAAGTTGAAGCAACAACCAGAGAGAATATTTGCAACATATATGACAAAAGATATATGTCATTAATATACAAAGAACTCTTACATGTCAATAAAAAGGTTAACACCCTAACAGACAAACTGGTAAAGAACATGAAGAAGCAAACCTCACACACACACACACACACACACACAAACACACTACAGATGGCTAGTAAGCATAGGATATTTTTATGCTTGCTAGTAAGAAACAAAAATAATCCCAATAATGAGATACCATGTTTTCATTGGACTAGCAAAGCTACAAAGTTTAGTTTTGGTTAGATGTGAGATGGGATATTGTCAGGGTATAAATAGGTTCAGCCTTTCTGAAGTGCCAGTTTGGCAATATGTATCAAAATGTTAAATGTGCACACCTTTGAATCAGCAATGATACAAATTAGAAAAGCTGCATGTGCAAGAATGTTCGTTACAATATTAGTTAAAAATCGAAAACAAAGGCTTATAAATAAAATTGGATGTACTTTTGAGTGAAAAGAGCTTGTTACAAAACATGTTCATTGTGATCCTGCTTATATAAATTATGGGTAAGTACGCATAGAAAGTACACATTTAACAAAGTGTTAATAATGGAAATCTCTGGTGGCATTTCAAGTGAGTTTCAAGCTTATGCAAATGAGAGAATGTGTGAACTCCTGTGTACCCCCACTCAGCTTCAACTCATACCCAATCTTGTTTCATCTATATTCCCACCCGCTTCTTCTCCCACCGCAGTTTCTGAAATAAGTCCAAGACATTTCATAGTGGAAGTCCATAGAACTATAAGCACCTTTTGTGTCCTTGATTCCAATGAAACCCATGGGGACTTCTCATTTGGATTTTGCTTTCCCCCCGCCCCCAGCTGTGATTCGGAACAGTGTGTTTGGGAACTTAGAAAAAAGCATGGTGCATGCCCAAAACTTGTAGTCAGTTTGGCTGCCACACAGCAGCAGACAACAGCCCCAGTATTATGCCCTGAGGATAACTACTCAAATTTATACCCACACAGCCCTATCATCATCCTTGTCTCAAAGACTGGGTGTTGTGTTTATCTTCCCTGAAAAGTGTATCTTAGTTTCATTCACATATTTTCATCCTGGAGGAAAATAATTTTCCACTTATGGAAACTTCGGCACAAAGAAACAAGGAAAAAGTAAACCAATGGGTATGAAACTAAACATCGCCAAGCGATATGCAAGGAGAAGACAACAGATATCAGATGTTCCTTGGGGCTGACTGAATGCACGTGACAAACCCCAAGAAGCTCAAGGATGTTGAGTGAATAGAGGGCATGTGCCTTTAACCTCACTTTGTTTTTACCACCCTCAGAATCCCAGGCAGGAAAAAGCATATCTGCCAATGGGCAAGGATTGTGTAAACAGCCACAAGGCACAACACAGGTCCTCTTTAAAGAAGTCAGGCAGCTCACCAATGTCTTCGTCTTCCACGCCCTCAAAGCCCACTTGCCTATCTGTCAAGAAAGGGCCTCCAAGCCATCCACCTATGGAGGGTGGAAGAAACCACCCTCTAACTGTAACACTTGGTTTGACCACCTTTCCACACTTAGGCCACACCTCTCCCGTCTTTCCTTTGCTCCTTCTCTCTTATCTTTCACCCTTCCTTCCCTTGGCCCCTTCACCAATCATTCACTAGTATTCCACCAATCATCCACTAGTACTTCACCAATCATNTAAATATGAAGAAAGAGTAAGAAATAAAGAGAATAGTAAGATTTCCCCCCGGGTAATGAGGAGGAGGTAGTAACATTAATATAAATACCAAAATCAGCAGAAGGTTTGGAAAGAGAAGGTGCTTGACTGAGTTTTTTGAACGTAGGACAAACTTCTCAGTTATAGGTGTCCACAGCATATGAATTAAATTCAACTGTGTGTTTGAGAAATCTGTGGTATTTTCAGGGGAAATGGTGCAGGAAATGTAGGCAGGAGTTTGAGGAGAGAAGATGAAAGAGGAGTTAAAGATGTAAGATTCTTTCAAAGTTTTATTAAAGATATATCACAATATGTAGTTGTCATTTCATGAGACTATAAATTCAATGAGGGCAGAAACCACAAATGTTTTCTTCACCACTTATCCAGGACCTAGCACAATGCATAGTAGGTGATTAATGTATATTGAATAAAGAAATGAATATACAAGACACTGCTTCACAGTATAGGAGATGCAGGGTTGAATTAGAAAATGTTCTTAAAGAAGCTTTTGGCCAGAAAGACAATTCTTTTTTTTTTCCTTTTTTTTTTTTTTTAAGATTTTTTTGGGGAATTGGGGAAGGGGAACAGCCAAGTTGTCCTTCAGTCTTCATTGTGGAGGGCGCAGCTAGCTCAGCTCCAAGTCCAGTCACTATCTGGCCGCCTGTTGGCAGCTCATAGCCACTCAGCTCAAGGTGCCACGTTCAATCTTAGTTGCGGGTGGGCATAGCCACCATCCCATGCGGGAGTCGAACAAGCAACCTTGTTATTCTCACCAGCTGAGCCATCCTGTCACCTGTTGGCAGCTCAGCGGCAGCTCAGCTCNCCTTTTGTTCTTCAGTCTAGTTGTGGAGGACGTCGCTTCACTGGCCCATGTTGGTATTATCATTGCACTCTTCCCGGGTGAGGCAGATCGGTCTCCAGCCCCTGGATGGCCGCTCATGGCGGCTCTTGGCAGCTCACGCCAACTGCCGGCCACTCACACCAGCTGCCAGCCACTCAAGGTAACTTATAGCAGCACACTGCAGCTCCACTGCAGCCTACGCCTTCGCTGGCGACTCACTGCAGCCCAGCTCCAGGTCAAGCTGTTGTTCACCATCTTAGCTGTAGAGGGCACAGCGTCACTGGCCCTCATGTGGGATTCAAACCGAGCCATGCTGCTCAGAGCTGGTGTCCCAAGCCAGCTCCTAACCAACATGCCACTTGGTGGGCCTGACAATGTTGTTTTTCAAGCTGTTCTTATTCTTGATCTTTTCGTATTTCTTAAGTAGTAAGAGAATAATTTTTTTCAATTTAATGTACATACACTTTCACCTAATTCCACTGCTAGGAATTTATCTTACATATATATTAGCAAGTGCACAAGTATGCAACAATATATACAAAAATGCTTATTATAGCAGTTTACATGGGGAACAACCGGAAACAAGCTAAATATGGGAATATTATACAAAACATTCAATGCAACACCAGAGCTAGACAATCATTAAAATAAATGAGATAGACCTGTGTGTCAACATATGTATTTAAGTGGGGGGGAGGGGGTAAAAATCACATGACTAGACCATTTATGGAAAAATATTAGATTAGATGTATACAAACACATACATACACATACATACAACAAAAATTTCTGGGTCACACAAAACCATTAACGTCTATCATCTCAGGGGAATGAGAATAGGTAATGAGAGGGGACTTACACTTTTCATTTTATACCATTCAGAAAGATTTGCATTTCTGTTTTTACCATTAATGCATATTGCCTTTATAATGCAAATAAATAGATAAATCAGTGGAAAAAATAACAGCATAAAACTAGGATTCTGGTTTACCAAGATTTTATTTTAAAAGCAAAAATCACACAAAAAATTTTAATCACTTTTTTAATGCTGATCTCTTTGGGGAATTGATACCACTCAAAGAAATGAATCCCAAAGGTGGCTACTTTGTACAGAATGATAAATAGTACTACAGTTATAGTAAATTCTCTGAAGTTCCTTCACAGCTTTATATAACTGTCTGCAGAGCATGTTACCAATATTCGCTTTGTTTCAAATCATTACTAAAAACCATAAACTGTTTCTTCACCTAAAAGAGTTTGTTTTTCAAGAAACACATTCAAAGAGGGAATAAGAACCCAAAGCAGAGCGGGCCAGCATACGTACCCACCATCCAGGGTGGTTCCTGGGCCTGGGTGACATCAGGCATGGCTGTTCATCCTGCCTGCCCAGAGACAGCACACCTGGCCTTCTGCCTTGGAGCAGCACTGGTCCTGCTTGGCTGGCTCCCATTCCAGGCAGCTGAAACATGGGCAGAGCTGAGCTGTTGGCCTCACTGCCAGACAACACTTGGCTCACACACTGGGCACACCCAGGGGTCTGCAAAGCCTTCTTGGGCTCCAGCCTAGCCTTCGAAGTCAGGAAGTTTGTGGCTGAAAGCGAAGAAAAATAAGCTGAGTAAAAAGATAGAGTCTCTAGGAGCTGGTTTACCCCAGAAGCAGAACCCCATTTCCCAGCCTGGCTGAGAGTGGGAGCAGAGCTGAACAAGCAATTCAGAACCTCTCTACTCCACTGAAACCAGAGCTCTGTTGCATATGTCTTTTTTTTTTCCTACTGGGTAAAATTTATTTCCAAAAATAAAGGGCTAATAATTAAAGTTTGGAAATCTTTGAACTAGAGGGTACTGATAGACATGTGGTTCTCAAACATAATAATAGAACTTTTTACAACCATTCTTCTATTTCCATTCAGCTGTAGGGAGGATAATACTTGCCCTCCCAAACCCTGCAGAGCTGCTGGAAGGATCAAATAAGGTAATAGCCATCTTCAGCTAAGAGGCCCTTAGGAAATTAATTTATTATTTCCTTCCTTTATAATGGAGGGTATATCCGGTTCAAATATTAGTCATTAAAAACAAAACTGTTTCTTCTAGAAGGAGATGAAGAAGAGGAGGAAGGGTAAAAAGAAAAACGATGATAGCAACAACACTCCAGTTACAATTTTAAAAAGGAGAAACTAGAGGTGGCTGATTAGCTCAGTTGGTTAGAGCACAGTGCTCATAACACCAAGGTTGCCGGTTCGATCCCCACTGAGATGCACCCTCCACAACAAGACTGGAGTGATTACCTGGCTTGGAGCTGATGGATTCTGGAGAAACGCACTGTTCTCCAATATAAATAATTTAAAAAAAAATTTTTTTTTTAAGGGAGAAACTATTCAAGTGCCTGCCACTTAAAGGAAATGGGGTAGGGCGCAAGGTGGGAAGGGAAGCATGGGGAGGAAAGACACTTGTATTAAACACTTGCTCTGTGCCAAGCACTATGCAGTATGCGAGAAGCTTCATATATTTAATCCACACAGACTATGATGCAGGTGCTGTTATCCCCATTTTACAGATCAGAATACTAAGGTTCAGAGAAAATCAACAACTTAGCCAAGGTCAGGCCGAGACACTACTCACCCAGGCTGGCCTGCTTCCAGGGAACATATGCCCTCCACATTGGCTCCTCCTCCCAAACGTGCGTGTTCCCTCGCCTCATTTCTCTTTCTCCCTTTCTGTTATCTCCCTGTCAAATCTGTGGTAGCTCTTTCATCCCTGTGCTACTTCCTCTGCACAGATCCTCTGTCCTGATTTCCAGCCTCCTGGGTAGTTCCAAGTTGAGATCCCACAGTCCTTACACAGTATTTCTAAATGGAGCTCCTCACCTCACCATTCATCCCCTCCCCCCCCCACACACACACACACACACCTGGGAGTAGCCCTCTTCTCCCCTGTGTCCCAAACTCAAAACCACTATCACTTTTGGTCATTTCTCTCCTTCCCTATATACACAGTCACTCCATTATCTCAATTCTTTCTTCAAAATATCTCTTCCCTTTCACTTTTCATTGCTACTTATTCTCTTAATATCCTAGAACCTTATGTCTGCCTGGTTCCTGCAGAAGCTTCCAGCTGGTTCCCTCAGTGCTTCCAGTTTATGCAGCACCCGGCTGTCAGATTGGTCACACCACCCACCTGCGCTGAGCAGGCCCGGATCATGCACTGCCTCCATCAAACCTGGTCCACACCCAGCCCTGCACTCTAGGCTGCCTGCATTTGGCCCCGTGGCCTTCCAGCTTCACGCTCCACTCCTCCACTCCCCATTTCCTCAGTTTAGCAAAATGATTGCTCACTGTACAGCACCCCTCCCCAACACCATCATGCTCCTTTCTTCCCCTCTCCACTTGAGGCCCCCACATCACCCAGCAGGCTGTCCCCTCCTCCCTCCTGCCACCTCTTAGTCAAGGCCTCCAGAGCCCTCCTTGCAAAGCTTGCAGGACTCACTATCTGTACTGTTCATGGGGCAGTGATTATGCACTGCCTTGTAACTCTTCTATTTAGCCTGGAACAGGCATCGAAACAGACTAGTGTTATTTAGTCTCTCCTGAACCTATATCTCATCACCCCAAACAGTATAAACCACTTGAAGATGAAGACTGTCTAACAGGTCTTGGTTCCCCGTGCCCCCTCCCCCCCCCCACATACACACACACACACAATGCCTAATAGGTAGATAGTAGGTGCTTAATGTATGTGTTGATTTCCTTTTTCTTCCCACATATGTTGGCCTCAAATAAATAGCGGGGGCTGGTCAGAATAATAAGCATCAGCCTTGGGAGCCTGATTCTGGCCACCACAGATCTCCCACAATCCAATTGCATCCTAGCCCTTCAGCTCAGGGTCCCCCCAGAGGCCTCCAGGGCACCAGCGGCTAGGAGGGGCAGCTTGTCTCCAGAGAGGTCGGTCTCTGACCGACATCGCCAACCCGGCTCTGCCTGCTCATTGGTGATCGTATTTCCATGCCCTGCCCTGGTCTCCAGCTAAGAGGAAACATCTCTGGGTATGGGGGGCAGGGACTCCTTAAACCCTTCACCCACATTGGTGAAGCCCCCTCCAGCCCAGCTCCGAGGCCGTCAGTAGCACCCCGGGCCCCACCCCCTGCCCCGCCCTGGGGAGAGAAAGCAGACACTGCACCTTTAAGTCTGCAGCCGGTTGAGAAAAACAAGCTGTGATTTATATAAGCGGGAAAATCATGTGATTTGCAGGAACGCTCCCTCCTCTCTGGCCCCCTCCCCGCGTCGCCTCCAGCCCTTCCCAGAGGGGCCCGGGCCGGCGGGCTCGGCGGAGGGGAGGGGGCGGGGCGAGCCGGGATGGGGGCGCCCGGGGCCTCCATTCACCGGGCGCGGGAGCCCCGCGAGCCCGGAGCTGCGAGATCGATGGGCCTCCCTCCGGTGCTAAGTTCCTGAGGCGTTTCCCGGTGGCCTCAGCAAGTTTGTTCCCCAACAGCCTAGCGGCGGGATACGGTTAGAATGGCAGGAGGCGCCCCGCCCGGCCCCGCAGCCCGCTTCCCTCAGGTCGCATAAAGCCCAGGGTCTTCGCTGCCACCGCGGGCGCCGCCCGAGCACCCCCCACCCTCACCCCCACCACTCCGGGCCGGGTCGACCTGTCCCTTTCCGTTGAAACCTTGCCATGAACAAACTGAGACTTTTCCCCCAACTTCTTCGGGAGAAAGAAAAGCCAGGGGCCTCCACAGACTGGCTTCTGTGTCCGTCCCCCTCCCAAAACACCCAGCAGGGGGGAGCAATTTAAGAAATAATCTGGTAGGAAAAGGGCATGATGAAAATCAGCCATTTCTAAAGCTGAGAGGAGGTTGTGTTTAGCCCAGAGGACCTAGCTTTCAGGAAAAAAAAAAAAAACCAATGTGGCCTTTTCAGACAGAGCCAAGGAAAATAAATACATGATTCGGAGGCCCTAAGAAACAGCCCAGATATTTTAAATATTAGAGGGAAGTGTAGCTACCAGGAGCTATGTAGAGTTAACTGACAGCTTCTGAAGGAAAGAAAATGCATAGATCCTGAGATGTAGAAACTGTAGAGTGGGCAAGACCTGAAGAGGTCATCTCAGCCACCCCTCTGTCTCTGTAGGAATATATATACCAGACCCTTCGAGGAAGTGCTTACAATGGGAGAGGACTAACCATCACTTCCAAAACCAAGCCCAGGAGGAGGTGAAGGGCTTTCTCAGGGAGAGCTGGGAGGAGACTAATGTCTCTCAGTGCCAGGTCCTTTCTGTAAAACACAACGATGGGCTCAGAAATTGTCCAATTCGGAAGGAACCCCTCAGCTTCTGAGAGTAACCAATTCCAGGGGTTAAACCCTGTCAGGAATAAGATTTAAATTCCATTTTATTTTCCTCCATTGGTCATCTGGGGAGGAGGCATAAACCCAGTGCTGTCAGATGTAGGAAAAACATGATGCAATTAACGAAGTTGCTAATGCACCACCTTGCTGTGACCTCAGCCATGACCAGCAGAGCTTGGCGAATTTCAGTCCACCCTCTGCATCCCAGAGCCAGCTGGGCCCTGAGAGGTCACTCCAAACCTCCTCCAGTGCCACCTCCCCCCCACCCATGGAGGGTCTTTATATGGAGATAGTTCAAGGAACAGTGCCTCAATGCCCTTTATCACACAACAGTAAGAAGATCCTTCCTGAAAGAGAAAATCAGGCAAATAGTCTCTATTATTCTCTAAATCCTAAAGAAGAAAAATATAAGTTAACACAGGGGTTCAAGGGAATAGCACTCCATGCGTTCAGATACCAACTTCATTCATTCAATTATTTAGTGCGTGCCTTCTGTGAGCCTGGCCCTGAGCTGGGCACTGGGCACTGGGGACACGATGGGAACAACAGACACACGGTCTTTGCCCTGAGCCCTGACTTTCTGCTCCCCTACTCTGCCTCCAGGACAAGAGCTTGTAAAAGACTTTCCTCTCCTCCACCAGCATATATATGTCCCTCCCTAGCCCACACCCAGTATGTGCGGCCCCCAATTCCAGCTGCATATGTCTCACATGTCTGCCAAGAGCTTCGTCTATCAGAAGGCGGCAACTCTCTGGTGATTGGGTGGTAGGTATAAGAAGTAACCCAAAGGCCTGTCCAGAAAATGAGATCAAAGTTGGCAGCCTCCTGGGCCCCTCCCCAAATTGATAATTTAGTTCAGGCAACTCAGTGCCACTTGCTTTCTCTCTGTCTTCACTCTTTTTCTGATCTGCCTACCTGCCCCATCCAGATCTCCTCTTTCCTAAGCTTCCTGTGCCAGGGGCCTGAACACCTCAGAGCCCTCCCTGATGAACCCAGGTGCCATCTTCCTAAGGCAGCTCATCTGCTTCCTCAGGTAGCTGAGCGCCTCAGCACCGCACAGACACCTCTGCAAGGTCTCCTGTTGCTGTAAGGTTCCACAGTGAGGGTGCTCAGACATCCCCCCCTTAACCGCAGGCCAGTCAACCACACCATCCTTCCCACCCTCCTAGGCCACATCAACCCCTACCTTTTCCAATCTTTTCCTGAGTTCTGTTGCTGGCTTCCCTCAGCCATTCACAAGCACAGCCTGATAACGTGCAGAGGGAGACCTGGCAATAAGCCTGTGGTGAACGAACATTTTAAAGGAACAAACAGAAATTATGGCTCCAAACTGAAAACACCCTGGAAGCCACAAACTCTTTTACTTTCAAAGAAACCAGAACTGGACCACTGAGGTTTTTTTCATTTGTTTGATTTTTTTTTTTTTTTTTTAAGCACCAAGGAGTGCAATGAGTGAATGAGTGAAATTAGCCCATCTCAGATACTGTCTCTTTCAGGAAATGGGGCCTCAGAAGAAAAAATGCACCCCAACCCCTGCCAAATTCCATTCTGTTTCAAATTAGCCTTCTAGCAAAATGAGGGGGCTATACTAGCTGGTCTTTAAGATCCTCCTAGCACCCCATGCTCTGAGCTCCACAGTTCCCCTAAACCACCTTTTAGAACACTCCACATTGTCATAACTGAGTAGAAAATACATTTGTGCTGGGTCTGCAGCTGAAGCTCAGGATTCAGTTTTCACTGTTAGGCCTGTTTCCCTCTCTCCTTTCCCTGAAAGGGCCTCTGGTGTTTCCCAAGCTGCGGAGTAGAAGGGAACACAGAGCTCCCCCAGAGCAGAGGGGCCGCCACAAGGAAAGCTGGCCCCGCCCCAATACAGGCTGGCCTGGGATTTCGCAGAGACATTCCTCCCTCCCAACAGGCAAGGAAGTTCTGGAACTTCTAAACTGCCCATCTTTGGGCCAGCCCAGGCCCCTACGGTATCCTGCACCCCAGTTTACAAGCTTTTAGTGGCAACTAACACACTTGGCAAACCTCCTTGAGTGTGCGCCAAGCCAGGCCCTTTTCCCCAGGACCCAACTGATGAAGGGATACTGGGTTGGGACAAAAATGGGGTCCAGCCAGACAAGCCCCAACCTTTGGTTCTCTAGGCCAAGGTTGGAGAGCTCAGGAAGGAAATGTCCTCAGTCAGCCTCACTGCTACCAAGCAGCTGATCCCAAGATCTCAGGATGCATCAGTAATTCCAGGCAGGGCTCCATCCCCAGCCCACACTCAGCCGAAGACCTGGTCAGGGACTCTCCAAGTGTTCCCAGAAACACAAAACTCACTTTCCATACCAGGCTTCTCTGGCACCTCGGGGTGGACGCAATTGGACCTTCTCATTGGGCTCCTGCTGCTCTAGGCAGTCCAAAAAGCATCTTTCTCCAACAGAGACAGTCACAGCCCCAGATCTCTGCTTTGAGACAATTTTAAAGAGAATTGTGTTGAAAGCTCAAGACATGTTCTGAGCTTGGCTTTGGTTCTAGCTTCATCTACATTTCTCAAAAAAAAAAGTACTCTTCCCATGACTATGGAAATCCTAGAGGCAGTGAGCTGAGCTGAGGAGACCTCAGAGAGCCTCTGCTTCCTAAGTTACCTAGGCTGTGCCCTGTCTAGATTTTGCTGGAAGGCCTCCAAGAAGAGATGACCACGCCTTCCTTCAGGCTGACTAACTGGAATATCTGCCACCTAATATTTAACAAAGTGACTCAAGCCCCATCCCATCAATTTTGGGGACCCCATTATTATGTCCCCCCAACCTTACAGTCCTTCTCGCCTCCAGCCCCTACAACAAACTGTGTGCCCAGGATTCTCAGAAGGTTTATTCTTCCTCTGTGACCTCTGGCTCTGATTTCCTGTTTTTCCACCTCTTCCCCTCCTTCTGCCTCTCACCTCCTGTAGCTGCAGCCTCTTCCCACTACTTTATCTGCATTCCCCTCCAACTCACACAAGGCTAACAGGCACAGCAGCAGATTTTACTCAAAGTTTGGGGTACTAGAAGGGACTCACAGCAAGCGCATTAGAATCTACTTGTAGATATAACTCTCCTCAAAATTCATCGGCCATTCCCCGCCTCAGAAAATTTCTACCTATTCCCTAAGTCCCAACTTATACTATCTTCTCCAGCCTCTCTCTTCTCCCTCAGGCCCTTCTATCCAAACTCCAATTTCCTGTGAACTCCTCCAGCAGGACAAATTGTCTTGCCCTCAGCATGCCCAGAATCTCATGGCTCTCACCAGAGTGGCTTCCTCATCAGGGTCCATCACAGCATCATCCTCCAAACAGAAGCATTTACCTTCAGGGGGATGTGCCTGCCCCTGGAATGATAAAGCACAATGTTTTGTTTTCTAGGTAACATTTTCTCCCTATCCACCCCCCACCACCACCCCCTCAATCTGGTTCCCCTGACATTTGAGAAATCCACCCAAATCACTCCTGTTCTCACTTTCTCTTTGTACTTCTCATGGACTTAGAGCACTGCTAATCTGCATCCCTGTTATAGTTGCAAATGATGATCCAATTAAAAATAAGTCAGGGGCCGGCTGTATGGTGCATTGGTTAAGAGTTGGTTTGGGACCGTGAGCTCTGTGCAGCAGGGCCCCGGTTCGGATCCCACATGGGCCAGTGATGCTGCGCCCTCTACAGCTAAGATGATGAACAACAGCTCAACCCAACCTGGAGCTGAGCTGCCGTGAGTCGCCGGCGACGGTGTAGACTGCAGTGAGGCTGCAGTGGGCTGCCGTAAGCTACCGTGAGTGGCCGGCAGCCTGAGGGAGCAGCCAGCAACCGCCGTGAGCGGCTGCCCAAGGGCCGGCGAGTGACTGCCTCAGCTGGGAAGAGCGCAATGATCATAATACCAACATGGGCCAGTGAAGCAACGTCCTCCACAACTAGACTGAAGAACAAAAGGACAGCAACTTGTCTGTTCCCCTTCCCCGATTCCCCAGTGCTGTTCTCCTCCCCCAATTCCCCAATTTAAAAAAAAAAATCTTTAAAAAAATAATAAAAATTATAAAAAATAAAAATAATAAAAATAAGTTAGTATAAGATGGACACAAAAGGACAAATACTGTACAATTCTATGTACATGAGGTACCTAGAGCCATAAAATTCCTAGAGACAGAAAGTAAAATGGTGGTTGCCAGGGGCTGGGCAGATGGAAGAATGGGGAGTTAGGTTCAGTGGGTATGGAGTTGCAGTTTGCGACGATGAAAAAGGTTTTGAAAATGGAGGGTGGTGATAGTCGCACAACAATGTGAATGTAGTTAATGCCACTGAACTGTACACTTAAACATGGTTAAAATGGTCAATTTTGTGTTATGGATATTTTACCACATTAAAAAAGTAATGTCAGCAACATTCACTCTGAACCCAAGACACACTTGCAACTAATTCAACAAAATAGGGGCTTTTCTGTCACCCACCTTGGAGCACAGCAGCTTTGTCAACCCGTCTCGGAGTTCCGGAGCCAAGGAGAGCACCCTCACCTACTAATCTCTCTGACTCATGGTCAGTCAACTCTCTGCTAACCCCACCCAGAGTGCGGAGGCATTGGCTCCCTTTCAAATTGAAAACAGAACCACAGAGGAGTCTCTACCGGAATAGGAGCCTTCAGACCTTGGTTCTAAAACTAGTTCAGTCATTAACTAACTGTGCACTCTTGGGCAAGTTAGTTCATCTCCTTATCTCAATGTCCTTATAAAGAAAATGGAGAAGACAATAGTCAGCCCTGAGGGGGATAATGGATGTGAACACACTTTGAGAAGTATATGCCAACTGATTTCATCATCTCTTATTTCACTCAGTCAAACTAAAAACATCTTGACCATAAGAAGAAAGTTGCTACCTGAAAATAAAGTGGTAGACTACAAATAATTCAGTAAATATAACTAAAAAAAATAATACTTTGATCTTCAGTCATCATCATCTTCATCCAAGGTGGTATGAGGCAAAGTCCTTCATAGTCTGGTCTCCGCCACGAAAATCCCATTTTGTCGAGACCCTGATTTTCTCCATGATTAGCATTTATCCAGAGCCAGGATCCAGCTTTGCCCACAGGATGCCTCAGTGAGGCATGGAGTGGAGTCCTGAGCAGGAGCACAGTTGGGGAGGGAGTATATGAAAGGCATACATACAAGCTATATCCCATGAGCACAGATTCAAAAATGGCTTCTCCTAATGTTCCAAGCTCTCTCACGCATTGACATAACTATCCAAAGACTGGTGAATAGGTACCAGCCCAAGAAGGGTGGCTACAAGACCACAAACCCCATAAAGAAGGTGGCCCAAAGATGGCTGAGTTGGCTGCCCCTCAGTCTGACCCCCAGCTGGTTGTGCTGCTGTTAGAACCTGCCAGCTCGGGCTCTTCTTCCGCAGGACTTGGTGGCAGCCGTCCTCTGAAATGAGTCTCTTTCCCTCAGGTCTAAGGAGGAAGTTCAGGTCACCCATTGCCCAGGTAAGTCCACACCTGGCCCTTCCCCTTCCTCCCTTTGCAACCCCCACCTCACCACAACCCTCTCTAGTCCAGCTACAGCCTTCCCTTCCCTTCAAGGAGAGACTTGTCAATGGCCTCTGCCAAGAGGTCCCAAGACTCCAAGTCTCCGGTCTTAGCCACAGCTCAAGACTGCCTCACATACCTCACAGGGACCCAACTCAGCCCAGATGGAAATCATCTGGTTAAGGCTTCATACTGATTTCACCAAAATTACGTTATGCTCATCCACACCCATTCCCACATCACCTCCTCCCGAGTCCCCTTCCCACTCACTTAGGCAGTGCCAAGAAGTGAAAATGGAAGCAGACCTGAAGGAACCCCGGGCAGGCGATTTGGGGACATAACCAGAGCTCAAGTCTTGGCCCACAGACAACTTTAGGCTCCCGAACTCATCCAGTCCAACCTCCCACGCAGCCACTGCACCTCGGCTGCTGAATCTATAACATCAAGGAGCAGATTGTTTCTCCAAAGCACAGGAAGGGGTATCAGAGATTTCCCAAGAAGCTGGCTCCCTTTGGGGTAGCATGTTTCCCCTCCCTCCTCTCCACCTCAGAGTGCTCCCGGTGGCCTGTCCTTGCTGCCGCCGGGAGCCCTCACTCCACAGCCAGCCAGAGGCCTCTGTGGATCACCACACCCAAGGTCCAAAGACCCCGAGGAGCAGAGAGTGGTTACAAGGCTTTGAAAATATCACTGTGACTTCCAAAATGTCCTCCTTTCCCATTTTGTGAGCTTTGAACTTTTCTTAGTACCCAGGCAGGGCAGACCAAAGGGACTCTGATCCCATGGGCACCTGGTGGAATAAACTGTTACTGCAAAAGGGGCCACATCATGGCCTCCTCTCCACCTTTCCTCTCAAAGGTGGCCTGTTTGAGAACAAGCTGGCTCAGACTAACCTGACCACACCTTCCTGGGAGCCCGGGAGGAGCCTGGTGAGAGGGTAGGGGTTGAGGAGCTGAGCAGTCACTCCAGCTGGGAGCTCCCTGCAAGGGGGAGGGAATTAAGAACCCCCCCCCACCACCACCATTCCTGAAAGAGCCAGAGTGGTTCCTCACAAGAAACTATGAAGCGTCAACAGCCAGACACTAGCGCAGCCTGGAATGTCTGAGCCACCAGCTGCCCTCTCAACTACTCAATGGAGGCTGGGGGTGGGGAGTGGGGAGGGGTACTGCCCCCTCGTGAGGCCCTCACCAGGCCCTGGCCTGCCCCCAGCCTCCTCACAGGGAGCTCTGAGGAACTGCAGCTCTGGCTGCTCCAGTCTTTGCCCTCACAAAGGCACCCTCTGTCACAGCCTCCCCAGAACAGGCCTCCCCCTCATGCTACCCACTCTCTCCCCACTCCCCCCACCACACACAAGCACTTCCTACAGGAGCAGATTCCAAGCCGAGTTAATGTCGGATACTGTCTCCCAACAACATGCTGGAACAAAGGCTGCACATGACTAAATGTGCCGTGGTGCTTGTCAGGGCTTAGGCAAACGTAATTATAGGGAGGGCAAAGCCACTCTCAGCAGCCACACCTGGCCATACAGTAAACAGCACTTCTTCCTGTCAAGGTGGGGGGAGTTGAGAGACAGAGAGGCGACAAACCACAATTTGAATCATTTGGAGAGAAGCTATAAATATAATAATGAGTCATTTGTAAAATATAATTTCATCCAAAAGCCTGGAAAAAAATGGGAAAGAAGTTCTTATGCTATTTCAGGCTAAATTGTTCAAGGGTGTTCTGCCAGAACCCGGGAGGGGACCCAGCTGCCCCCCAAGAGCTAGGCTGGGCTTCACACATGGGCCTTCCTGAGCTCTCATTTCTGGTGGGGTGCTGCCTTAGACACCCCCTTCCCCAGTTCCTTCATAATATCCTGGGATTGGAATGCTCGCAATTCAGAGGTCTCTCTCGGAGAGCTGATAAGAATCATGGATAAGCAGCTTTGCGTCCAGGCTGTGCAGCTGAGAACAGTTTAGGGCAGGCATGCTGTTGTTTTTGGCAAACTCTTCCCAGCCTTGGGCCCTTAACAGCCTTTCATGCGCAGGGTTGCTTTTCCAGTGTGACTGCAAGGTCTCTTCCAGAGCACCGGGAAGCCTCAGTCCCAGCCTGGGGCCCCAGCTGCTTTGGGGGGAACGGAGGTATCTGTACAAAGCTCTGTCAGGGTAGTGGGCTAGAGTCACTCGTCTAGGCCCAGGTAACCACTGCTGTTTGGAATAGTTGTGAAGAGCATAATAAGCTCTGGAGCTAGACTTTTCCTAGGTTCAGTTACAACTGGGCCCCTTACTATCTGTGTGACCTTAAGGAAGTTACTTACCCTCTCTGGGCTCAGTTACCTCATCTATTTGATGAGTTTAATCACAGTACCTTCCTCAAAGGGTTCTTGAGGAAATGAAATGAATTAACATGTAAAGCACTTAGAATAGGGCCTGGCATAGTGAGCACTGAATAACGTTAGCTGACACGCTTCTTATAATTTCTCACGGGGCACTTGGTACAAAAGGAACCACAGGACAAAGGCACCGTGGCACGCGCACGATCCACCCTGGGTGATTATGGATAAATGATCAGGTCCGTCCCTTGGCTTGTTCTTCAACCATTTCATCATCTCAACTTGCCTGTTGACCTGAGCAAACTCCTAAATCTCTGTGGCTGGATGGTCCCCTTTATTCCTCCTTACACACAGCTTTGCCTCTGAACTGAGGCTCAGGCAGCATGAGGGTGGAGGGTAGCATCCTACCTAATGTTTAGAGGCCAAAAGTCAATTGACGCCACTGAGCACATACTGAGCTCTAACTTCAGCCTCTCCTGCTCTTTTTCCTCTTCTCCCCCTTTTCTTCTCTGTCTCTCCTTCCCTCTAGTCCAGGGGTCGGCAAACTGCGGCTCGTGAACCACACGTGGCTCTTTGGGTACATTCCATCTCAAAAGTTTGCCAACCCCTGGAAGAGCAAATCCTGTCCCTCACAACAATTTAAAAATTATCCAAGAGCCATAAATATATTTTTACATAATCACCATTATGTGAATAATATCCTTTAAACATTTTATAAATGAAACTATGATAGTTTTATTTTCATTTTCAATTTTACTTCCGAGCCACACACTGGTGAGCCGCAGTTTGATGACCCCTGGCGGCTCTTACTCCTACTCCAGTCCACTCCTCCTTTGCTCTTCTACCCTCAGGTGGAGCTGGGAAGGGGGGATGAGGTTCCAGTACTCAAAGACTCTGTCTCTCCTAAGCCTCTGGGTCCATGCCCCCTGTTGCTGAGAGTGGCCTTGAGAGCCCTTAACAAGATTTCCTCCCCACAAGTGTCCCCTACACCCAGGGAGACCAGAAGAGGTCAACAGAAATTGTCTCCAGGTCAATGTTCTGCATTTTCATTTCTCAGAAACCAGAACACCACAGCCAGCTCTAGCCCAGAGGGGAAGGTAACAGGAGCCTTTTCTCCTGTAACTACCACACTGTCACCCCCTCACTAAAAGGGCCCCCATTTTCCGATGCTGTTCCACCCCCTGGTGTGATCTTCCTCCTGTTGGCCTGGGTAGCTTTTTTTTTTCTCCAATAATTCTTTAATATACTTGGCAGTGTTCATATTTCCTATTTCCTTGGCAGTGTCTTATAATTTTTTCCCTTTTTAGTGAGTTTGAATTAGGAATCTAAACAAGATCCAAACATTGTGATTGATTGATTGATATGTTTCTTAAGTCTCTTATAGTTTATAGTTCCCCCTCCATGTAAATGTTAATATCTCTCATTCTCTCTCTCTCTCTCTCTCTCTCTCTCTCTCTCTCTCTCTCTCTCTCACTGCAATTTTTTTTACGAAAAAAAAATTTCTTTGTTTATCCTACAGATTCCCATCGGGATTGTTTTTTTTTAAGTTAAAACACAGTGGTGTCATTTAACATGTTTCTCCATCCCTTATATATCTTGTAAATAGGTAGTTAGATTTAGAGGCCAGATTCAGGTTTGATTATTATCCTTTTTTGTTTCTGTTTTTTTGGCAAGATTACTTCACATAGGAGGTGACGTGCCTCTATCAATGTATAAATATCTGGTTGTTTCTCTTTTTGTCATATTGTCAGCCATTATCCAGCATTGCCTAG